TCTCTGCAGAGCTCAGCCCACCCGTGTGGGCCCGGCCTCCACCCCGGCCCTCCGCCCGCGACTCCAGTGCCCAGGTGACCCTGAGCACTCGCCTCCCACGCCGTCTGGGGGTCGGGTCCCTCTAGGCTTCCTCCGCACCTGCCTCTCGCTGACTTGCATGGAGATTGGGGACCAGCTTTGGGCAGAAAGCGTCCCTCCTCCAGCCAGGGCGGGTGGCCAGAGAGCTGCCCTGAGGGGCCCTGGTCCTGCTCCTCTCTGAGCCTGCGGGCGGGACCATGGCAGCCTCTTGTGGGGAGTACTTCTCAGCGTTTTCTCTCGCTCACCCTCCTTAGTGGTGAAAACCCTGCTCAATAGGCCTCCTCCCCCTCCATCTGACAGGTAAGCAGCTGAAAAACCTCACCTTCCATGGCTGCCAGAGCTGTGCACAGACACCCTCTGACCCCAGAGCCCCCTGACCCCAGCCCTTTCTCGTTGCCAGATGTTGGGGCACCGCTGACCCTTGCTTGGTCCCTGGCGGAGGCCCGGGCCTGGGCTTTCCTGTTCTGCCGTCAGCGCCACCCTTGATAGAGTGTAGCTACAGGTGCGCTCACCACCAGCGCCTCCAGCCTTCAGCACTAGAGAGCAGGGCAGCCTGGCCCAGAGGGGGTTGCGTGAGGCCCCCAGTCAGTGTGGCCAAAATCGGGTTAAGTGAACTCCAGCTGTGGCTTCTCTGTGAAAGACATTGCTGACCTGACCGCAGCGCTGGCCTCCCGCTCACATGCACAGGTGGCTCTGCCTGGTCCCAGCGACCAGGGTGAAGAGTTGTCATCTGCAGGGGCCTCGCGGCCGCCACAAGGTTGATCATAGCTTTCTCTTCCTGTGCAGACAGAAAGCTCCCATCCCCGGCCCTTACGGCCACCTCTTCTGGCCAGTGTCGGTCTCAGGCACACGGCTCTCACAGGCTTGCAGACTCCTGCTCACTCCGCCTGATACAGTTCCTCAGGCGTGAGGTCTCCTGCCTGCTACTGAGCTCCTGGGCCTCTGTTCCCGTCTGGGGGGATGATAATGACAGCACCTCCCCTAGGCTTGTTCTGAGGATCGAATGAGATATTTCAGGACAGGCACTTGGCCTGATGCCTGGCAAGAGGAGAATGCCCCTCCATGTCAAGTAGTGTGACTGTTGTGGCCACATTTCCCAGTTTCCTGCCCAGAGAAAGGTGATTACACCAAGTCCCCCCATGTTGGGCTCCTGGCACTGTTGGAGGCAACTCTGACAGGTTAGAGAGGGGCAGCTTGGTGGCAACAAGTTCCACCTGTTGGGGAACAGTTAGCAGCAGCCCCCAGGGCCCTTCTAGGGGTGAGTGGGCATCTGTGGGCCACCTGGCCTCCCAGTTCTCCCCATGAGGCTCCCAACAAGAAAGTGCCATCAGAGACCTGGGCTTGTGACCAGGCTCTGATCCTGGCATGCTGTGTGACTTTGGGTGGGCCACTTGCCCTCTCTGGGCCTCCTTTTCCTCTGTACAAATGAGGCTGACAAAGGTGTCTGCCTGGCTGGCGGGTCTTGAGGGTCAGTTGGGAGAATGGGTGGGATTTCCCCCTCCATAGGCACTGGTGTTGTTGTTACCATGTGGCTACGTGCTGATCTGGTGCCTTCTAAATCTTGCTCATCTGGGGTCTAGCCATCCAAAGCCCAATATGCATTTTATCAAATTTAACATTTGATATGAAGAGGAAGAGGGAGATGAAATCAATCCAGGTCATGGCAGAGGTTTGTTTGTATGACTTCCTGAAGCCAGGGATATGGAGGGAAGAGAAGGGTGCTGGTGAAGGGGAGACAAGGCCTGGTGCCTCCTGACCTCGAGGGGCTTCTGAGCTTGAGCTATGTCTGTGGAGGGGTGTCCTGGATGGGTCTGAGTCTTTATCTCTTCCCTCTGCAATGAGACATGACCTTTAAGCCCCTCCAGCTCTGAAAATACAGGTGTAACCTCCTGTCTTGCATGAGGCTAAGCTGGCCTCGTTCTCCAATTCCCCACGTGCTGGCCAGTCCCCTCTGCATGCAGCCAGACCACAGAGCAGGGCTCACTCTCAAGTCCCTTCCCACTTGGCTTCATGAGGATCAGTTGACTGGAAAGGACTGGGATACACCAACCTGGGGAATCACCATGACCATCAGACACTGAGCTGTGTCCCTGTTCGAAGCTGTAGGACACAGTCCCTCCATTCCCAGGTGGACACTCATCCCCTGGGCACGGCTGTGACCTATGAGAGCTCTGACCTGTCTCCAGCCCCCAGTCCCTGTCCTCTCCCTCCTGACATTGCAGCGCTCATGCCTGCCCATGCTCCCCGTCCTGCTCCCTGAATTGCTGCCAGCCGCCCCCCATGCTGAGGTGACAGTGACCTGAAAGGAAGCACCCTCTGGCATTTGTTCATGAACTTGTTCCTTCTCTTTAATGAATCTGCAGCTCCTTTTCCTGAGAAAATTTCAGGCTCAAGGCAGAGAGGAGCCAGAGCAGCTGTGAGGCCCCAGGCTCCTGGCCTGTAACATACACCCGGTACACACAGGTTCTGAAAGCTCAGGATGGGAGACTGTGTGTGTGTGCCGGGTGGCAGGCACTGGCAGGGTCACACAGAGTCCCCTCCTTCCTGTTCTCTCCCAGGCCCAGGGGTGCCTCCTGATCCAGGCCTCTCCGGAGACCCTCCCCTTCTTTCCTTCTGAGCTCAGGGCTGGCTACTCCCAGCCTCTCCCAGACCGCTGTGCCTGGTGAGCCAGCTCTGCCTGGTCACATGTGCTGTGAGGTACCCCTCTGCCTCCTCTTTGAAATGAACTTTTAACAACACATACATGTGATACATGAATAGACAAGTCAGACCAAAATCCCCATTGAGCCCCCCACCACCCTCCTGGAGACAATGAGTAAGGTGTGTTTGCCCCACGCCCTCCAGGCGCCCAAGGCTTTCTATGATGAGGTCCATGAGTCCTTCGTGGTCCCCTCACAGCCTCTGGGGCTCTCTCCAGAAGAGTCTAGGCCAGCGGTTCTCAACCTGTGGGTCGCGACCCCTTTGGGGGTCAAACGACCCTTTCACAGGGGTCGCCTAAGACTATCAGAAAACACATATATAATTACATATTGTTTTGTGATTAATCACTATGCTTTAATTATGTTCAATTTGTAACAATGAAATTGGGGGTCACCACGACATGAGGAACTGTATTAAAGGGTCGCGGCATTAGGAAGGTTGAGAACCACCGATCTAGGCCATCAGGGTATTCTGATCAAATAACCTCATTCCCTGTGCTGGCTGTGGGAGGACCTGCTCCCCAGGAGCTATTCCCTCAGACCAGGGTCTGATTGTTTCTATCCTGTGCCCTGTTTCAACACCAACACTCTTCTCACTTTTCTGTTAACTCAGTTTCAAAACATCTTGTGTGAAATTTTTAAAAAATATTTTTATTGATTTCAGAGAGAAGGGAGAGGGAGAGAGAGAGAAACATCAATGATGAGAGAGAATCCTTGATCAGCTACCTCCTGCACACCCCACATGGGGGATCAAGCCTGCATGGTTGAACCATGACCCCTTGGTTCATAGGTCGACGCTCAACCACTGAGCCATGCAAGCCAGGCATCTTGTGTGAAATTTTTTTTAAAATATATTTTATTGATTTTTTGCAGAGAGGAAGGGAGAGGGATACAGAGTTAGAAACATTGATGAGAGAGAAACATCGATTCAGCTGCCTCTTGCACGCCTCCTACTGGGGATGTGCCCGCAACCCAGGTACATGCCCTTGACTGGAATCGAACCTGGGACCCTTCAGTCTGCAGGCCGACGCTCTATCCGCTGAGCCAAACCAGTTAGGGCCTTGTGTGAAATTTGATCAGAAAGTTTCTTGTCCATCTAAACCCTTGTCCAAATGTTGGTGTGTCCTTGGAGAGTGCTTAGGGGACTGTGCATCCTTTCCTTCATGGAAGCCAGACTCCCTCTCCCTGGAGTATGTCTCTGGTGTCACAAGGGTCTCTGAGCCTCCTAGACTTCAGGACTTGCTGGAGTGGCGATAAGAACACAGACCACCTGGAATTGTGCTTGAGGAGGTTTGGGAAAGTCACTGGAGTCACCTGGGCCCAGCGTCATCTTGGCTGAGTGGGGTGATAGTATTGGGCTTGCAAGATTAACTAATGTGTCTACTTTGAGGCCTGGCTTGCCATGAACACACCACAAATAACTCAATTATTTCCATTCCAAGAGTGGGCACTTCCCCTTTCCCAACAGGGCTCAGGCTCAACTCTTTTTCTGTCTGGGAGGTGATAACTCCTACTTGAGGGCACTGGCTCTGCAAAGCTAAAGGGTGGGCTGTGGTGCTGAACGGACAGCTCCCGTCCTGTTGGCCCTAGATGGGCAACCAGAGCATCTGGTGAGGCCCGGGTTTAATGGAGTGACCACAATACTGTCAGGGTAAGTGGAGGAGGCAGAGATAAGGAAGTCTGTGGGCTTCACCCAAGAGTATAAGCTCCACTTCAGTGCCAGCCCAGTCCTGAGTGGTTAATGTTGTCTACCCCAGGGGGCAAGTCCTGAAAAGGGGAAGTGGTATGGGGGGTGAGTAGAGGGAGTGAGAGTTGGGAAAATACAACAGTGACAAAGAATCAGAGACACAGAAATATAAGAAGAGAGATAGTGACAGAGAGCCAGAAAGACAGAGGGATGAATGGAGACACAGAGGGAGGGAGGGAGTGATCCAAAGAAAGAACAAGAGACAGAGACACAGCAATGCAGAGAGGGAGCCTGACAGACCAGGGCTGAGTGACAGGATCAGAGAGAACAATGCAGGTGACCCACAGGGAGGCGTGTCCAAGGAAAGACAGCAGGTGGGGAGGGAGAGAAGAGATGTAGAGAGTCAGATGTGGGAACAGAGAGAGCCAGATGACAGGCTCCCAGATAGATGCACCAGAGGGAGGAGCCATGGGGGGAGATGGGGCAGGGGAGGGCGGGGCTGCTCACCCGGCCTCCCACCCACAGCCTACAAGGAGAAGATGAAGGAGCTGTCAGTGCTGTCGCTCATCTGCTCCTGCTTCTACTCACAGCCACACCCCAACACCATCTACCAGTATGGGGGTGAGTGTGCCCACTCCCCATCCTGTGGCCTTTTGACCCCCTGGCTTGGCTGGCTTCTGGAGAGGGGTTTTGGGGAGAGGGGCTGGTTAGGGACTCAGGCCTGCAGGCCCTCCATGAGCAGCCACACCCTCTGGCTCAGGCCTCGAATTGGATGTGTGCTGGGAACCAGCCCCTTCACCCACCCCCTCTTGGCTGACCTTCCTGAAGCCCCAGTCTGATCTTGCCCTGCAGACATGGAGGTGAAGCAGCTGGACAAGAGGGCCTCTGGCCAGAGCTTTGAGGTCATCCTCAAGTCCCCTTCTGACTTGTCACCAGAGAGCCCTGTGCTCTCATCCCCCCCCAAGAGGAAGGACACCTCCCTGGAGGAGCTGCAGAAGCGGCTGGAGGCAGCTGAGGAGCGGAGGAAGGTAAGGACCCCACATCTGGTCTGATGAAGGTAGCCAGGAGGTCTTGCTGGCCATGGACATGGTCCCCAAGGTTCAGGGTGCTCCAAACCACTGCTTGGTGGTTGGCCTGGGGTGGAGAGTCCCATGGTTTCCTGGATCTCCTCCTGAGAGGTCAGCATGGGATGGGGGAGGAAGGATCCCCAACGGCAGTCAGCTGGAGGGAGACAGTAACCAGACACTGTTGCAGGGCCTTGGCCATGGGCAGGAGGGTCTGGTGGTGGCCCTGGGATGTGAGGCTGGACTGGCACCCTTCTCCTGGGCAAGGGCATGAGAAGGAAGGGCCTCCATGTGCTGGGGGCTGCACAACTAGACCTGTTGGGGGTTCAAGGGCTCTGGGAGAAGTGGGGAGTGAGCCTAGACCCCTCCCTGCCCCTTCACCTCACACCAGCCCTTCTGAGGCTGAAACACACAGAAGAGGAATTGCTCTCAGGAGTGTGTCCTGGTACCCAAGCTCACAGCACAGGGGCAATGGCTCCATCTCCCTCACAGCAGGTCCCGTGAGACCTGAGATACCCGGAGTGACTGGCCTGTGGGAGGCTGAGGGCTCTAATTACCCCTGGGAGCTCAGGCTGTCCTTGGGGGCCACTGGGCAGCCCCTCCCCCAGCAGGGCCCCACACTGTGACACCAGCAGCCCAGGCTCCTCTCTCCAACTTAGCCTCTCCCCACATCCCTGGGAGCCGGCCACACTCTTAGCACCTTAGGAAGCTCAGCACCTGGCCTGTACCAAACGGCTACTTTGTGCTCAGTGGTCAGAGGTTTGAGGAAGAGACAGGAAGGCTCAGTGATGGCCCACAAGTTTAGATTCCCTTTGCTCCTCAGCACTCTCCCAGCGCACCGCGGGCTTGGGCTTGGAGCGAGAAGAACGGAGGCTGCCTTGCCTAGGGCGCCCTCGGCCTAGCAGGCTAGCAGGGAGGGGGCAGCTCTGTGGCCAGGGGCCAGGGACAGAACGACGAGGTCTCTTGGGGCCTCGGAGCTTTCAGCGCTCAGGTCCCCGGAAGGCAGGCAAACCAGGAAGGAGGTCACCCTCCCCGAATCAGGACCGTGTAGGCGTGAGCTCCGCGAAGATGTGTGTCTTGAGGGCAGCAGGGCAGGGTGACGGGAGGGGTTGACGGGCCCTGGCGGGTCAGATGGCAGCGTCGGGGGCCAGGACGGGGGCGGGGGTCTGAGCTGCGGGCGGAGCCCGGCCGCGCTCCACGCCCTCCAACGCGCCGCACAGACGCAGGAGGCGCAGGTGCTGAAGCAGCTGGCGGAGCGGCGCGAGCACGAGCGGGAGGTGCTGCACAAGGCGCTGGAGGAGAACAACAACTTCAGCCGCCTGGCGGAGGAGAAGCTCAACTACAAGATGGAGCTCAGCAAGGAGATCCGCGAGGCGCACCTGGCGGCGCTGCGCGAGCGGCTGCGCGAGAAGGTGCGCGCCCGGGCGGGGCGGGACCCCAGGCAGAGAGTGGGGGCCGCGGGATGGGTTCACCCGGCATTTGGGGGCACCTCCAGCAGTGGGCGAATGGAGAGCCATCATCTGGTCCTGCTGGGACACAGTCGATAGCGCAGTAATGAACGGACAGGCGTCACCTTTGAAGTGCTCTGAAGCAGCGCATCCGGATGTGAGCTAGGAGACGGGCGGAGCTGCTTTGGGTTGGGGGCCAGGGAAGTCCCCAAGGAGCCCCATCCTTTGGCGGGTTCCTGCCCAATGCACCACCAGCGCCCCCACCGCCGGGTCCGTGCTTGGGGCCAGCCCAGGATGAGGCGAGGCCCTGACACTGCGGAGGGTGGGGAGGGGTGGGGTGGGGTGCGGGAGCAGGACCCCAGCTCACCCCCCCGCCTCGTCCCCCGCAGGAGCTGCATGCCGCCGAGGTGCGCAGGAACAAGGAGCAGCGAGAGGAGATGTCCGGCTAAGGGGCTTTGAACACCACAGCGCCTGGATCCTGAGCCGAGACAAGAACACATTCGGGTTTTGTTTTTGTTTTGTTCAGCTCTGTCTAGATGAACATTTTGTTCCCGCTCCTCCCCTCTCCTCCCACACTCCCAGCTTTATGCTTCTCTTTCCGCACTCTGAGCTGTCCAGTCCCGGGGCAGCCGCTGGCCACGGCTCTCCTTGGAGGAGTCACGGGCGGGGTGGGGGTGGGGCACAAGGTCCCTCAGTTCAGGCACCAGGCCGGGTGGTGGCCGGGTCCCCCCTTGGCCCTCCTCTTAGTGGATGTGATGGGACCAGCAGTGGTGGCAGGAACATGTAGGGCTTTATGCTGGGCAGTCCCACCCCTCCGCTGGGCACTGGCGGCAGGGTCCCTGCTGACCATCCTCTTGGTGGAGAGCAGGAGGGGACAGACTACAAGTCCTTGCAGGACCCAGAGCCGGTGCCTCAGATACCAGGTGGTTGCAGCCCCCAGAGCCCAGCTTCCTTCCTGCAGAAATGAATGGGGGCCCAGCCAGGGATCAGGGTGGAAGCTGATCCCCGGGGCTTAGGGGGAGGTAGGGACCCAGGCCTCCTCGTCCCCATCGAGATAGCCTCCGAGGAGGGATAAGCGAGAAGTGAGCCCAGCAATGTCCGCCTGCAGCTTTGGTGGGACTCAGAGGGGTGTGGAAAGGGAGCTGAAGGCGGAGTTTCTTTTAGCTGCGGCAGCTCTCATCGCGGAAGCCTAGTGTAAATGCACCCATCTCATCCTGTAGTGAAAGTGAACTTAAAAACTAAATCAAATGAGCAATTAAAGAAAAAACAAACTTGTGTGTTTAAGAAACAGTTGCACCGTCCCAGTGTCCTGCGTCTGTGGGTGGGAAATAGGCTTCGAGCTACAGCCTGTGTATGAAGGAGCTGCAACTCCCATGGAAGCCTGTTATCAAGCTTGTTTTACCACAATTAGGAGTAGTTCTAGTGACAATGGCAATGTTAAGAAATGAGTGTGTAAATGACACACAGCCCGTTTCCCCTTCAGAGCCCGGGAGCAAGGGGGTGGGGCCCTGGTGGCTGCTGGCCATGTCGGCACTCTGCCTGCATCTCCACAAGTGTCACCTCAGTGGCTGCACAATCACCTATTTATGGATCTACTAGGACTTTTGAGAAAACTTCTCCAACTTTTAGGTTTCAGGGACCCTTTACAATCTTAAAAATTCATGGAGAACCTCCAAAGAGCTTTGTTGATGTGGGTTATATGAATCAACAGCTGTCACATTAGGAATTAGAACTCAAATTTAAAAAAATATTAACTCATTTAGAAATGACCCACCCAGGGACTCTTTCCCCCTCCCCACGTGGGAGTCTGTACTTGTTCAATAAATTTTTCCCTTTGCTGTACCAAAAAAAAAAAGAAAAAGAAAAAAAAGATATACCATTACTTTTAGCATAACACTTTATATATATATATATTTTATTGATTTTTTACAGAGAGGAAGGGAGAAGGATAGAGAGCCAGAAACATCGATGAGAGAGAAACATCGATCAGCTGCCTCCTGCATACCCCCTACTGGGGATGTGCCCACAACCAAGGTACATGCCCTTGACCGGAATCGAACCCGGGACCCTTGAGTCCGCAGGCCGACGCTCTATCCGCTGAGCCAAACTGGCTAGGGCTAGCATAACACTTTAAAATAAAAACAATGAAAAAAATAACTGGAACGGTTGAAGTATATGAAAAAACCTGGCTTCATGGAGATCAATGGCTGTTGGAAAAGGAATGGGTATTTTAATACTCATTCCTTAATACCAAACTGAAGCTTGATGAGGGGTAGTTTCTTAAAAGTTGGCTGCAATGTGAACTCAAAACCAACCTGAGCTTTCCTTGCTCTTACATCAGCCGCCTAGTTTGTCACGTCCTTGACTCAGTCTTTACCCATGGGTGGGACTCTGGGGCCAGAGCAGAGCTCAGGGCCTGTATGGCTGCGGAGGGAGGGGACAGGATTGGGTGAGCTGGGCCTGCCTTGTCCTGCTTCGTCTGGTCTGGAGCCTGAGTAGAGGGTGGGCAAGGCAACCCCATGGCATCCTGGGGCCTGGTGATGACCTCCTGGTCTGCCTCTCCAGAGTCCAGGTGTTCTCAGGAGAGGGTCTAAAGGCAGTGACCTGCATGACACTGAGTTTTCCTCTCCCCTGCAAAAAACCCAGAGTGAAAGCTCCCTCCCCGTGGGACCCAGGATGGGCATCTCCCATGAGTGCTCCTGAAGAGAAATCAGCACCCCCATGGCCCAGGATGAACTAATCCATCCTGCCAGCCAAGCAGAGCCCAGTGCTGTAGTCTAGCTCTTTTGGAGACAGAAGAGGTGAGGTCAGGGTCAGATGCTAGGCCTGAGTTCATGCTGCAGTGGAAACATGGAGGCCGGGAGGCCGAAGCTCACCCGTCACGGAGAGCAGGGGGTGCCTGGTGCAAGCATGATGTCGCTGGCAGCGCTCTCCTGGTGGCACGCTCGCCTGATTCCTGACACCAGTGCCCTTCTGGGCCTTCTTTGTTGATTTTATTGGCATTTGTGTCCAGAATGTGAAGATGGGAACTCAAATAATGGACCTAGACTGTGCACATCTGCTCAGATAACAGGCTCAATAGTTTAATCTTTAAGAAGAAAGACTTTTTCCATCAGTGGCTTGAGTACACTCTACATTATTGAAAACATGAAAGTGCAACTCTCCTAATGATAACATCACTGAAATGAAGTTTGCTTGAAAACCTCCCATTCTGGGAAATGGCCTTCAGTTGTCTTCCTGCTGAAGAATAAACATGGGTTTACAACTTGGTCCTAAACAAGACATCAGTTTCCTGCCCATTTCCGGAGGCAGTTTTTTAGAAACTGCTAGCACGAAAAGCAGTGATACTGAACAGCTCAGGTGTGCCTGCCCTGCTCTGAGAACAGCCAGCCTCGGCCACCCGCTGGGCTACCCTGACAGCTGGAGCCAGGGAGACTAAGGAATGTGCAGGACACCGGAAGTCCTCAGGCCAAGGGCAGGTAGCTTCATAACTGCCCGGGCTCGGGGGAGGGCAGGTGAATCCCACTAGCCGCCACCCTGGGGCCCCACTGCAACTTTCACACAGCAAGGCCGATTGCACCTGCTCACAAGTCACAGGAACACCGCAAAACCAGAGTGATGCCTACCTCCTTCCCTTCCGGACCCCGAGAGGACGAATGAAATTCTCAGAGCATCCCTAACCCTACATCTGTGGGTCTTTTATGGCTCAGCTATAACTGAGGAACTGCATTGTAATTTATTTAAAAAATATGTTATTAAATTTTAAACAATAAATAAAAAATAAAAATGTTATTAATTTTAGAGAAAGGGCGAGGGAGAGGTAGAAACATGGATGAGAGAGAAAAATTGATTGGCTGCCTCTTGCACTCCCTCCACTGGGAATGGAGCCTGCAGCCTGGGTCTGTGCCGCCTAGAAATGGTGCATGGGAGCGGCCGGGCTGAACTCTAATAAAATAAATGAGCTCGTGCTGCCAGGGGCCAACACTCACAAGAACACGGTATGGCACCGTCCTGCCGCCGTCACGGCGCTTCCTACGGCTGCCTTCAGCAGGACCGCGGCGGGAGGAGGAGGAGCCAGGCTGACGTTTGGGAGCAGGCCCTCCCGGGA